TTTTTTTTAAAGCGAGGAAATCATGTTATCCTAAGGGCATATTCCCCCAAAATGAGAATTTTGCACATTATATGGTATTACTGAGTGCAGCACTTCAGCTGGCACAGCCAGGGGAGTGAGGAAGACCAACCCCCCCTGTCAGTCAGTGCCCGTGTCTGGGGGCTCTGCAGGTTCCAGTCACTCTTCTCTGGGGCACAGGGAGTGTGGGGATGGTGTCCCCATCAGCAGCATGTCCCAGTGTGGGGGAGCAGAGGGACAGTGCTCCCACCTGCATTCCAACACAATGTCAGCTCAGGGTTCGGGGAGCACCCTGACCACCACCTGAAGCTCACCTGCCTTCTTCTGAAGACAAATGGATGGGACAGGGCAGGCACGGGATGGGATCCTGGAGACACAGGAAACTGCTCCAGCACAGGGAAGCCAGGGCAGGACGCTGTGCTGCTCTGAGACATGTGAGAGGAGGCTGGAAATTAGGGGAAGTTTAAGGAGGAACCTGAAAACCCAGCAGGGGGTTTTATGCCAGATGCTGGAGCAGATGAGCAGCTTTCCAAGCAGAGGCAGGTTCCTGTTTGAGGCTCTGACTGAGCAGATGGGCACAGTAAGGCACAGCAGGAGACAGCTACACACCAGTGCTTTCCTCTCAGCCTCTCTGCAGTGCAGCCATTGAGCACGGCAGCATTCCTGCCCCGGGGATCCAGCCCATGCCCTGTGCCCCATCCTGCCCCGGGGATCCAGCCCATGCCTTGTGCCCCATCCTGACCCGGGGATCCAGCCCATGCCCTGTGCCCCATCCTGACCCGGGGATCCAGCCCATGCCAGCTGCACACCCCTGTGCCTCACTCCAGGGACTGGGGCAGCAGGGCCAAGGGTGGGCACAAAGCCCCAGGGCTGTGGCACCCTGTCCCCAGCCAAAGGGAGCAGGGACAGGGCCCAGCCAGCTGGGTCTGGCACACGGGGTTGGGCACCCCCGGGCTCAGCCAGCAGCAGTGGGCACACAGGAGTGGGCACTCAGGGGCACCCCAGGAGCTCCCACCCCACCCCAGGCAGGGCCAAGGACTGGGATGTGCTGCAAAAACACCAAAACCAACAAAGTGTGCGAAGCATGAGAGAGCAAGAGGTGTAACTCACTGATGTAAGCAGCAATTCCAACAGGAATTTCAGGTTATTCCACCGTGCATCACCAGCACATTAACATACACCTTTAGCAAAAGGGAGATGGACCATTTTTGACAGAGGCCTCCGAGGAAGGGAAAGGTGGCAGTGCCCCAGTTACTGGGACTGGGCTTGTGGTGAGCAAGGGGAAGCACTGAGGAGGGTGAACAGACACAGGCAAAGGAAAACACAGCAGCAAGGCTTGATCAGGGGATGCAGGACAAGAGGGGGCTCAGGGGACTCAGGGAATGCAGGACAGGAGCAGCTGGCACAGAGAGCAGTGACACAGGCTGTGTCTCTCCCTGCAGCAGCTCCATGCACACTGCTCTTACCCTGCAGCTGCACCGATGCTTTTTCCCCTAAATCTTTGCAGCTCACTCCATGATTTGTTTCTGACAGGCAGCAGAAAAGAACGTGAGTGCAGCCAGCCAACAGCAGATTTAATATCTGCCTCACATGTCTGTTGCTGCATTAACCCTGTCATTTACCCAACCTTATGGTGATGAATGCAGAGGGACTGGCAAGGAGCCACATATCAACAAGTTATGTGTTCAAATAAAAACCATCACTTAAGACTGCAGCTCCATGACCTAGAATAGCTGGTCTAGGTCGTAAAGAGAGTTTTCTGATTTTAAATAGTTGTAAATAAGATGAAGAACGAGCAATTAGATTTGAGGATACACAATTTCTTTAAACAGGGAGGCAACTTCAAGCCTTAGTCACTAGAAAAACTTTATAGTCATTCCCTGCCCACCTGACACTGAAGTCTGCTATGCAGCCTGTTATTTCATTTCTCCTCTGAGGTTAGAGTCATGCACATAAACCAGTCTGTTCACATCAGCAGCAAGAAATTACCTCACCAACCACCAACCAACTGCAGAAGCTACAAGAAGTAAAACATATGCTGGTTTACAAAGCTACTTGAGAAAAGGAGCAGCTTCTAGTGCATCTTCAAAGCCATCCAAGCAGAATATATTTGTATAGCAGACTGAGACTGAAATTGGTGAGAAAAGTGTCCAGAGAACCGGATAAAGAGAGGAAAGCCAGCCCTGCCGAGCATGGAAATACCACATTCCAAAAAGTAAAAAAATCCACTATCAGAATACACACTCTGTGAGCAATTACAAAATACCTGCAATACTCTTTAAAGACAAGACAGTCTTCATCTCCTGTTGCAAGAGAATACATGAAAAACAGTGAATTCTCTGTATAGGATAACTTTGTTCCTCTCCTGGAGTCTGCAATGCAGTGGTATTTACCAGAAGGAACCAGAGCACAGGGATACACCAGCTCTGACTCAGACAAGCCTTGCTGACCCTCCCCAGCACGTATGAAACAAAGCCACACTGCTCCCAGTGCTCTGCCCACCACAGCAACCCCCACCTGACAGACTGAGGCAGGAAACTGGGGAAACACCTTTGGGCAGGTGAGTCTGAGCAGGATCATCACTGTGCATCCCCCCTTCTGTCACACCACCATCCTGTGCAGCAGGACATGGTGCCAGTGCTGCCCTGCAGCTCTGCACAGACCTGTTTGGGGCAGCCTTTAAAGCTCCAAACTGCATCACAAAGACCTTCAGTGTGCCACCAGGGCAGGGGCTGCAGGAGCTGCCTCTCTCCTCCACCCCTGCAGGCCCCAAAGGCTCTGCTGAGCTCAGGGGTGCTGGCACAGGGCGCTGCTCACAGAGCTCAGCTGGCAGGGCTTGCACTTGGGGAGAGTTTGCTCATTTCTTTTTCCAACCCACAATTTGTTGGGATCATTTTGGAACACGTTTTGACATTAAAACTATCAGGAATAAGATGACACAGAGGTGAGCAGAGGCACCTGAGCAGGAGCTGCAGCACAGGAGCAGTGTGGGTCCTGGCAATCCCCAGGAGGCACAGACAGTGCAGCAGAGACTGGGGACACTCCCTGAGGGGCTGAGAAACTCTCCTGTCTGGGCAGAGCCTCCTGCTACAGCAACGGAGCCACGTCTGGTCTCAGGGACTGCAAACCAACCTCCACAGCAGCTTCCAGCTCTAAAACCACAGGCTGAATCCAAAGATTCAGGCTGACAGCCAGGGGAGTCAAGTGAGAGTACCCAGGAAACAAGACACTGCTCACAGGGAGGAAAGAAACTGGATTTGGATCCACACTGAGCAGGGCTTATTGTGGATGGCCCATCCCTGCTGACAGCAAAGCACGGGATGGGAACACGACCAGTGCCAGGGAGAGCCAGAGGATGGCCAGGCAGAGATCTCTGCAGCAGGGAGCTCTCCACCAGCACCAGGAAACAGGCACCTCTCTTCTGATGCAAAACAAGAGACAGAACTTCTGGAGAGTGTCAGGGCTGCCTGTGCAGGGAGAGGCATCCACTGATCCCACCTGATGTTGGATTTTTACAGTGTCAGTGACAACACCCACCTACAAGAACAGATGCAAAGGTGGAAAAAATAAAAGGAGCCCTTTTTAATAGGATTTAGAGCAAAGCCCTTTGGGACCAGATAACACCAGAACATGAGCAGTCCATTCCACACAGATCCATACACAGCTCCATCGAATCCTGGAGCATTTCCCAGGGTTACAGCACAGGAGCCACCACTTGCTCTCCCTCGAATCCCAGACAACACATCCAAGGCTTCACTGACCTCTCTGGACTGAGGATTTAGGATAGCACTTGCCTGAAGAGCCTGAGAACAAGGAGTTTTCCAGAGACCAGGAATTATGCAGGCTTAAAAGGAACTCTGAAAAGCAGGGAAGTAAGTACCTGATTTGCATAAGGAGTTAGATATGCATCTTTTCACAAAATCATGTATTCTTTTGATCTCGGTGCCCCCTGGGCAGACAGGAGAGCTGCAAATCCTCAACAACAGCAAAACATGATGGGTGACTGCTGCTCAGACCCAGAGACAACAAAATACCTACAACACCCCTGACAGCATCGTTCCTGTCACAGCCAACAGTGCCAGGCAAGCAGCCAGACTGATAAAAAGGTTAAAATATCGGAATTAGAGTTTTTACTGATGCTTCCATACCCAGTGACTTGCTTTGGTGCCATCTAGTGCCACCCAGCGAGGTTCTGCGTGGGGATGGCACCTAAAAACAGGTTCAGATCTGCAGGAGGGCTGCAGGAATTCCATCATCTCCACGTTCCCAAGGGAGCAGTCAGGTATGGTGGGAATTGCTGAGATCTGAACCATTTTGCCCGTTTTCCTATCAAAACTTGTAAGCAGAAAGGGAAGCACAGAAAAATTACTGCATTTGCATTCTGGTAAAAGAAAGCCCAACCTGGAGCACAGCCTTACAAAGGGGTGTTGGCAAAACCCCTTTGAACAATGTCAAACACGTGATGCCATCGTGGCACAGGTGAGGTTCTGCAGGTTTGAGTGTTTCCCATGGGCTGGGTTCTGATCTGCTTTATTCAAATCATGAGAAAGCAACAGCAACCTGCCATTTCCACCCCAACCTGGGGGATACGTTAGGAAGTTACACACATTTATCTCATAATTATGGATGCAGCTTTTTACTTCCAGAAGTGAGAGATGATAAATTTAAAAAGAAATTCCACTCTTTGGCATTCATCACTGAAATGAGTGGGGATGGGGCAGTCAAGACCCTGACAGCAGAACCACTGTGCAGCACCCAGAGATGGGCCCTCAACCTGCCTCAGCCCCTCGCTGGGAATTCCAGAGGAAGCTCCTTTCACAAAGTTCCTGCCAGGGAGGGGAAGGTGGGCTCTTCTGTTTTAATTTGAATTTTTTTTTCCCCAGATCATCGTCCTGGCACAGGCCCTGCCGCATCCTGGATCCACAGCTGCCAGTGGGACTCCTGAAGAGCATTTCAGCTGAAAACCTACAGCAGCACAAAGGATGGGGTACAATTTGTCCTATGGAAAACTGCCAGGTAAAATAACGGTGGAAATATAAGTGATTGAGAAGTGTTTACCCTGTTACTGTCAGTTCCTACCAACATTTGAAAGAAATAAGTCATTTCAGCACGGGCCAGCCTGGTTTGCCTCACCAGCCAAGGTCAGAGCATAAACAACATGAAACAAAATGTACTGTCATTTTATGACAGAGTTTGTAAGCCCGAACTTTTTTCGCAAACATTTACACAAGAAATATTAAAAACCCCCAGAGACTGCGATTTTTAAATACATTTAAGTAATCTAAGTTTTAAATGAGCATTTTGATAGACCTGAGGAGTCCTCCCAGAGCCCTGTCTCCTGACAAACATCATCTCAGCTCACAAGTCTCATTCTGTCAGGAGAGCCAAGAGCTGCCAAGCTGCAGTTTTGATTCATGGCTCACCCCAGCAGCCTCTGGACTGCCCAGAGAGAGCACGTTTTAGAGAGGACAGTTTTAAAACGGCCCCATTTGTCAAACACCAGAAAAAGCTTTAACCTTGTTTTCCCTGCCTCCCCCAGACAATCAGCTCAGCCCAGAGAACAGCAGCTCTCCCAACATCAGCTCCCCCGGGAGCTCCAACGAGTTCACCACCATCGTCCTGCCCGTGCTCTACCTGCTCATCTTCCTGGCCAGCCTCCTGCTCAACGGCCTGGCCGTGTGGATCTTCTTCCACATCAGGAACAAGACCAGCTTCATATTTTACCTCAAGAACATCGTGGTGGCAGACCTGCTCATGACGCTGACGTTCCCCTTCAAGATCATCCGGGACTCGCGGCTGGGGCCGTGGCACTTCAACTCCTTCCTGTGCCGCTACAGCACGGTGCTGTTCTACGCCAACATGTACACCACCATCGTCTTCCTCGGCCTCATCAGCATCGACCGCTACCTGAAGGTGGTGAAGCCCTTCGGGGACTCCCGGATGTACAGCATCACCTTCACCAAGGTGCTGTCGGCCTGCGTGTGGGTGGTCATGGCCTTCCTGGCGCTGCCCAACCTCATCCTCACCAACGGGTACCCCACCCACAGGAATGTCGACGACTGCCTCAAGCTGAAGTCTCCCCTGGGGGTCAAGTGGCACTCGGCCGTCGTCTACATCAACACCTGCACGTTCGTGGTGGTGCTGGTGGTGCTGATAGGGTGCTACATTGCCATCTCCAGGTACATCTACAAATCCAGCAAGCAGTTCATCAGCTCCTCCAGCCGAAAGCGGAAGCACAACCAGAGCATCAGGGTGGTCGTGGCTGTGTTTTTCACCTGCTTCCTGCCCTACCATTTGTGCCGGATACCCTTCACTTTTAGCCACCTGGACAAAATTTTAGATGACTCCGCACACAAAATTTTGTATTACTGTAAGGAAATGACGCTGTTCCTGTCCGCGTGCAACGTCTGCCTGGATCCCATCATTTACTTCTTCATGTGCCGGTCGTTCTCCCGGAGGCTGTTCAGGAAATCCAACATGAGAACCAGGAGCGAGAGCATCAGGTCCCTGCAGAGCGTCAGGAGGTCGGAGGTGCGCATCTACCACGAGTACACTGATGTCTGAGGGCACCCACAGAGACTCTGCTCACCCGTGAGATTGTTTGTATAGCGTGTAAATAAAATGTCTCTTTGAGTATCTGACCATGGAAGCTCATTAAGGAACATGCAGACACGTTCAGCTTTTCTGTGTCAGCTCACCAACATCCACCTCAAATCCCGTCCCCACGGGGATCAGGCTCACTGCAGGAAGGTTTGGGGCTGTTCTGGTAGGTTGGTTGGTTGGTTTAAAGGCCAATCTAGGGCTGTCTCAGCTCAGAAAATAACCCAGAGGTGCAGGAGGCTGCAGCCAGGATGGACACTCTGGGCTCAGAGCAGGACCCAACAGGAGGGGTCAGCACCCAACAGGAGGGGTCAGCACCCAACAGGAGGGGTCAGCACCCAACAGG